CTAGTGTATTATAGAACACTATATTATAATAATAATATACAACTGCAGTGGTCGTATACGACTTTGCGCGGTGCAGCATTTTCAATTACCGTCCAACTGTCGTATACGCGATCGCGTTATAAACCACCGGAACGATCGAATCATGTGACATTTACGAACTGATAATAATCATATTTCTGTCGATGTATTATTGTTTACGAGTTCGTGTGTATTACACGACGCTATGATATACATCGTCATATTATTGTATAGACAATATAATATTTTGTATACATCACGCCCGATCCAAGTCCCCAGCGAGTACGCATATAATATATTATATTATTGTACGCACGTTCGTCTATATACCTATATTGCTACGAATGTCGTTTTACGCATACATTTTAAATGATGATAATAATATAATGCATGTCGGAATATCGGATGTTATCCCAAATATCGGTCACCTTTTACCGGAAATACCTATACTTTTGGTCGACGTCTGCACCACGTACTGAACCCTGCAACTTATAATTATTATATTCAGGGCCGTCTTAGAATTTGCAAGGATCCAATTAGAATTTTTGTTTGGGGGTGGCTTAATAATAACACACAAGTAAACAATTAAAACTAATTTTTAAATAATCACTTTTATTTATTATCAAAATATAATGTTATATATTATTATGTATTTCGTATTTGATAGGTATTTATAATTATATTTATAACTAAATCAATTTAAGATTTAAGTTTCCTGGGTCCCTTTTCGGATTCTTTAATTTATATTTCTCGATGTATGTGAAGATTTGCCTGACCATTTAAACGTGACTGTCCCATTGTGTTTTGGAGATAGGTTTAATTAATTCACAGTAGTGTGGAAAACGATCTCTCGGCCGTACTTGTACTTACTGGTAACGTTGCAAATATTTTGAAAAGTATAAATCTAAACGAGGTTTTCATGTCAAGACAGACAGTCGAAAGTCATAACTATCATTGTTATCGTAGTTACCAATCAAAGTCCCAAAGCCCCCCCCCCTTGGGTGGTACACTGTCCATGCGCACCCAGAGCTAAGGGGCCCGTTTGGGAGAACAAAAAAAAGTTGAGTAAAAATATCAAAAGCTTATTTTGTATGATGACTTTATTAGTTATTAAACATGATCAATTTTCCGTTTTTTGATACACTGTTGTATTTAATAGGTTACAGCTTACAATTTAAAGTGGTAATTTCTATTATTCGGAACTCTCAATTGGCTGAAAAATATGGAAGTTATTATATTATATAGGACATTAGCACATAATATGTATTGCATAGTATATGGTGTAACGTATATATTATACACACACACACGTGCGCTGAAATCAATATGATAATAATTATTGTTCCCAATAATTAGTAATTAATACGCAATTATTTTTCGTTTTAATTATGATCGTCGATTACGGCGGATCAATTATTATTATTATACAAACGAAACGAAATCTTTCTGGCTGTGTTTATTAATAAAACGTGACAGTTATTGTGAATATTAAATATTTGTTATACTACGACACACATAATATTGAACAATTAACACGGTTTGTGAGTTATAAAGTTAAATAATATTATAATCAACCCAAACATCAATTTATTAACTATTAATCAAGAATGCAATGGTAAAAAGTTCGAAGTCAAATAATTTGAACCTATTTCAGTAATTGTTGTCAGCTATATAATGTTTCGTCAATATTTGGGTGTTGATGGGACAGAAAAATGATATACATTTTTAATATACACTCAGGTCTGAGACTCCACTTCCTTAAACTTCATACAAATTAACCTATAACGCGAACAACTAAATACAATTTTACTTTTACTTTTTTCAATGCGTATATATACTATATGCGACTACACTATTATAGTGTTATGTATTGTAATTTATAAAACATTATGCGCACACTATACCGCGTAGACCTTATTATTTCACCCATATACAACTTAAATGACCACAGGCTATATTGTTTCAAAAACTATCTTATTCGATTGGATTAGAGTCAGTATAGTGTAATCAACAAACAAGAGTATCAACAATGTTGGGGATACTCGTTTTTGAACCTACATAGAGAAATGTCTGCCTTAACAATACAGGGTGTCCCGTGAGGATTTACTCATTGCGATATCTCCTGAAATAATAGAGATATCGTAATTCTGTTTTCTTATTAAGACTCACAGAGGTAAGCACTACAAATAACTAATTTTTTATTTTTTTTTTATGTTTTGGTAAAAAAGTTAAAAAAAATTATTTTTTTAATTAATTATTTAAAAAAATATTGAAGATTGCCATTTTGTAAAGTTCATTTTTCTGAAAATATTGACGTTTCAACATTTTAATTTCATTAATTTCCTGATTTTTAATAATTTTTTTAATTAATAAGTAAAACGGCAAAAAACCGGTTTTTGTCCGGGCGGCGAGTCCCCCTCTACGGCTAATAGGTAAATCCTCACGGGACACTCTGTATAGCTAGGTACTTGTTTGCGTACAATTATGTTCAATGCAAAACCTTAAAAAGCCGCGAATATGAATTTTGATCTGCAAACTGACGACTCCTTATAGCGTACAACTAAAAAATCTACAATTTTGAGTAGTATACAGATAATAATGTGCATGTGCATTGTGCACAAAGTACCCAATATATATGCACATATCCAAATATGTACCTACCTACTTAGTCATTGAAACAATACTACAAATTCATTAAGACTATGATTTATAATTAAAATCGATGAAAAAATATATATTGTTAATATTCAACGAAAAGACACGACATTATACAGTGCATATGACTAGTTGCCTCTCATCCATGTTATAAATAAAATTATTAATACATACAGTATATAAACATATAGTCTATAGTTGCTTCCGATGATCGGTTGGTTCATAATTATATATGAGTTTCCTCCCAAAAATGTTTACTCTTTATACCTATATATCCCATATAGAATGAACTATTAAGTAATTTTTCATACAAACTTCACAAAAATATACCGCGTTAATAGATTGATACTATTAACCCTTTCACTGCTCCGGACCTATTATTACGTAAATTTACTGTATTATTGTATTTCTGTATTTTATAATATATTTTCCGGCAACCGTACAAGTTTTGGAAACCATGTCAGTGAAATGGTTAAGACTATTCTTTTTGACTTTGGGGGGCAACTATAGTATAGTATTTACCAGTTTTTTGAGGAAAAAACCACAAAAAATGCACAATTATTTAAAAATTGGAATATTATGAAAAAATATGTATTAAGCATCTTTTGCATATTATATACTATTATTATTAAAGAACATTTTGTATCAAATTTTTTCGTCTTGAGCCTGGAATTTAAAATCCTAAGATCGCATATCACCAATATGTATTGCGGAAGAATATACCTACTATAAGTTTTTAAAAAATACATTTTTTCTAAATCGCAATTTATTTGTATTTCGCACTGCATGCATAACAACAATATATTGTTCTGTTTTTTCCGACGACATGAAATATTATATATTTAATGGGTCGGTTTTTTTGTCAAACGGGAAACAAATAAAACCATACGCGATTGTGTATTCGTATATGGTCTATACATTTTGCACTTTATTATTGCAAAATATTTTTACTTGTATTCAAATGCTAAATGTGTGCGATTTTTAATGAAGGGATTTAGCGTGAGAAATTTACATACACAAGAAATAACCGGTTCATCGCCACCCTCCGAGAATGACTGGCCCGGGCAACAACAAAAAACTTTAGTTTGCTATTTCGAAAACGGGGGTAACTTATTTATTTATTTAAAAATAAAAAAATAACTAATAATACGTCGTTACTTTTTCGGGATTACCGGCCCTTAACAAGTTTAGACTAATGAGAAAGACACGTGACCGACGTAACGCCGAGTATAAAGCTTCAAAAGAATAGCATAAATATTATATATATATTTGAACGTAAACGGGTGATATGCTGTTTATTCTCAAACGAGCCCAGCTAATCCTCTCTTTATGAAATATTATTGAAAACAGACACGAACACAATGGCGGTATATGTTTTTTAATGCTTGGTGTGTAGCAGCACGTTTTCGAAGTAATCAAAGGAGCATATACTGTTTAGTGATTCCATCTTTGTTATGTATATTATATACTGCTGTGCAATGCGATATACGATCATCTTGATTCTCAATAGCCAATGACGTCATAGTGTGCTCTGTCGAGTTTATTGTATTTTAATGAAAATAAAATATGTATAACCGTGGTTCAAAGTACTTACCATTTACCGTGTCCGTGTTTATAGTTTACGCCTAATGTTACAGGGTAGAATAATATGATGTGTATAAAATGAATAGTAAATACAAAGTAATTTGATTTTCAAAAAATATATATTGTGTAAAGTATACAAAACAATACGTTTAACAAATAATTTTTTATCATATCGTATAAAATAATCTTTATAAATATCATATTTAAAAATAAATTAGGATTATCTTACGTGTCCAAAATAAAACTCTCCTGGTGTAAGACTCTTAAAGTACACAAAAAAATAAAAAAATATACATAAAACTTAAAACTTAAAAAAAGTCGCTCATCGATTGCATTTATTCGCGACGCGTTATTTATTCAACGATATAATATTTGTATGATGAATATAGCGAACACGGAACAATAATGTAGGTCGGCCGATATATTTATATCTGCTGCAATTGCACTCTGACTAAGCAAAGTTAATTATTGCTATATAATATAAATATATAATATAATATAATATGTATAAGTACAAAAAACGAAAATGGCTTTGGTTAAGGTCTTTGACTAGAATACGGTTTATGATAATATTATTATTATTTGTTAATAATAATAACAGTCATATATATAGGTAATAATTCACAGTAAAAAATGTCAGATGAGAAAAACTCTGATAAATTTGTCACATAGGTACTCGTACGCCACTTATTAAGTGATAACTTACTAACGAACGTAGTAAACAGTTGGATTACGATGAGTATTTAGTACGCTACTTCAGCGCCCCATGGCCTGTAGGGTTTCATCTGTGCGGAAACGGATGAATCGGATTGGTATTGTTGTTGTTGCTGTTGTTGTTGGTGGTGCTGTTGGTGCATGGCAGCTTCGTGATAGCCCGACGGCGGCTGCGGCGGCGGTTGAACAGGTTGCAAGTTGTGCAATTGGTTGCCGGCACCGCCGCCGTGCTGGTGTTGGTGCTGGTAGTCGTCGCGACTGCGGTGGTGGTGCTGCTGTTCGTGTTGTCGCTGCTGTTGGTGATGGTGGTGGTGATGGTGATAGTCCGCCGGGACGGACGACAGGGTGGTGAGACCGGCTGCTTCCGCTTCCGCCGCTGACTTGATACCGTCCACGGCTGTCGCTGACGTCTCGTAATTATTATTGTTGTGGCTGGGCGGCGGCGGCGGTGGAGGAAGGGTCAAAGGTGGCGGCTGCTGTTGTTGTTGTTGGTGCGGCGACGTCGTCGACGGGTAATGGTGAGGCGAAGTCGTCGACGGGTAATGGTGCGCCGGTGGAAGTGTCGGTGGCGGTGGTGGTGGTGGCGGCGGTGGCGGTGCCCCGACGTGATGACCGCCGTACCAACTTGGCGGTGGTGGCGGGGCGTTGTGGTGTCCAGCAACGGCCGGCGACTTGGCCGCGTACTCGCGCTGCGCCGCAAAGTACTGCAAGTGTGACAGCAACCGTTCGCGCAGCGGGTCCCGGCCGTTCATGCCCTCCACTGACTCCAAGTACCTGGCTACCTCGGTAGCGCATTCCCTGAACCCGATGTTGTGGTAGTCCATTGCGTACTTAGATGGGTCGTATGCCAACGTGTCCAGACCTGCGTGAGAAGAAAAACAAACCATATTTTTATTATTTATTATATTTATTTTTTGAGCTTTGAATTGAAAGCTGGGGCGTTTCAAAGTTCAAACGCCGCGTATTCCACAGAGTTTATAAAACAAGGCCTAACTATAATTTATTAGTTACATTATATGATGGCATTCAATATTTTATAATTTCCATTTTCTCATTTATCCATTTGAAAATTTCTGGATAAACAATCAGGACATTTAAGTTATTTTTTTAAAGCTTCAATTGATAATTTTTAAAGAATTTAAATCTGGTCTCAAATTATTACTATTTACCATCCCTATATTGAGTACTACCATTTCGCTATTAAATTTTTCTTCTAATAAATTACTATAAATTACATTTTGTGGTTTACGCAACCACCACCTACTAACAACTCTGCCAAACTCCCCACCACTAATTGTAATAAAGTGTATTTGAGTGTGAATTTTTTATATACATACGATGATAGGTTTGTAGCCTATCGGGCTATTATATTTTTGCAGTTTTCGGAAACTGAACAACTTTTTAAATATTTTCTTTTTTTTGCCTGTTGCCTGTTAGTCTCTTATAAATATGATTATTTAAAAATATAATATGTACCTTTAGGATAATACTTATTTAGACATCGTATTAACATACCCCCGGCATATTGATATATGCGTACATAAGTTTAAAATTCCATAAACTTATTTAATTTTCGGAACTGTGAGCAAGGATGACACTATTTTGAATATTTTATTTTTTATAAGTCTAATAATATTATATAATTTTATCACGATTGTCATCGCGTAATAGGTATAATACTCCCACGATATCATTTCACGGCCGATTTACGGGTTTGTGCGTAATAATGGTAATAACAAACAATAAATCGTTGTGTGTTAGGTGGTGTTTGCGTATAATACTATAATATACATACACACGCGGGGGCCGCCGTCTAAAGTGCGACGATGCTCGTCAAAACGGCCGCAGTGGTTGGTGGCGAATCGTGGGAAAAGGGTGGCGCCGATTTGCGACCGACGAGGGGCAGCTGACACGGAATCACGTTCTCACGGTAATATGTATATACAGTGGATAATCTGTCCCTATTACCACCCCCTCCGAGATATCGCGATTTAATTTCGGACGATAAATTTAAAAAAAAAAATACACGTAAGTGAGTTAATAATATTTATACGCGGTGGCACAAGCCAAATCCGCGATAAAAGTCCGAATTCACACGGTCGAAAACACCCGGTGACCGCGCTCGTACGACACGAAAGTGACGAGATCACGTCAAATAAAGATTATTATTATATTATAAAGTATGTACCTACATGTAATATTGTAATAATGTAAACTATATAGTGTCGATACCTGTTGACGCGCATTGCCCTCTGAAATATCTTATGCACATGCATTGCGTAATCATATACACTGACCTATATAATGTACAATATACTCAGACAAGACACTGTAATATAAGGTATATATTATTATAAATTAAAATACATAGATAATATTATTATCTAGATCGGTATTAGTGAACGCGCGAAGCCGACGTTAAATCTAGTCGTTATAAACATACAAACTCGTACACGAAAACGAGGTTTTTCTATGAAAATATAATACTTAAATATCATTAATACGAGCAGTTGTCTATGGTCACGATGTGTGACACCGTCATCGTCGCCGTCGCATAATGGTGATAAAATGTATATTATTACTGTTGTATGCCTAGCGACTGTTCCACTACGGCGGGCACTTGTCGACGAGGGACAGGATGTCGAGTTAATAGACTATATGTACCTGTGTACATCGTTCCACTCCGGTCCTAACCCTTTGCCGGTGGTAAGTAGTTATGCGTGTACACCTTTTGTATAATATTATGCCACTGCGACGGGAAGTCGACGAGAGGCAGGTGTACATGGTGTAGTGTGGTGTACAAAGTCGACGACGAAGACAACCGCGGGCTGCTTATAATTTAACGTACTCGCATCGTATACTCATCGCATAGATGGAATATGCGATCGGAAAACTTATCGAAAACAAATTTTAATAACGTACCCGCTGTCTATATATAGTCACTATACGATTATTATATTATTGTAATACGACACGACACACGAACAGTCATCACTGCAGGACACCTATGACCTATATTATTAATATGTTATTAAAGGTGATAAGTTATTGACGATAATGTTATACAAAGTAGATAAGATTAAAATATACGATAGGAATAACCAATAACATGTTATAACATTATATTATTTTTAAAACTATTTTCAATTTTGTGTTGTAAAATAAATGTATATAAAAATATTGTACAATTAAATTAAAACATTAAGTGTAGGTATACATATTATACAAAAACATGCGTTTATATGGAAAATATATACTTGCACCCAACACATGTAAAAATGTGTTCTTTATTAATAATGAAATAAATCATTGTATAATATTGCTTATAAGTTATAGGTAACTCAATATAGGTAGATATTATATTATGTAATATACACCAAGACCGGCAAGACCAAACCCATCTAGGTTGAATAGAAAAACTCGAAATTCGAATAGGTAGTTTAAATAAAATCGAAGTAGAAAACAACATGTTTTACGAACATGTGAGTTTAGCTTATACATTATAACTTATCGATACGTTAGGTATACTAATAATTATAATAACATTTATTGTTTGTAAGTTGGTGATTTACCTTTTGCGTGAATCATTTTTAAATGGTCGACTGTGAGTTGTAAGATTTCGGCCTTTTCTAATTTTGCCGAACCCTGTTTTTCGTACGCTGTGGGCACAAGTCGTCTGAGTTCGGACAAGCTGGTGTTGATGCGATCACGACGCCTCTTTTCGATGATGCCCCGGCGTTTCTTCCGGGTGAGCATGTGGGGTGTTTCGGTACCGTCTCCGGGAGAAGAACAACTATAAGAAAAAAAAAGAAGTATAAGTAAACTAATTTCAAAATTTGGGGATAAAATTATTTATTTTTAACACGATTTTTTGTATATAAGAAAATAATTTTATATTATAAATAGGATCCAGAGTCAAATTGTATGAAGTATATTAGAATCCGGGTTTTTCTAACGCTACCTCATCCAAAGTGGTACAGGCGGATTCGCCTCGGCGAGCACTACTGCACTGCCGAGGAAGTCCCGTCTTCCGTTTCCGGGGATCTTACAGAGGTTTGAGGACCCGTGTCAGTGGGTGCTATATAGGCCATAGGCGGGTGTATATAGGCGTACTTACTGGTCTTTGCTAGACTCCTCGGAAAATGCATCGTCGCAATCGTCGCTCTCGTTGAAATGCCTTTTGACGCCTTGGTGATGGTGACGGGAAGTCGGTGGCGGCGCAGGCATCGAACTCCACGGTCCGTAGCCCCAGTGAGGGGGCTCGGCGGTGGCAGCGGTTGTGGTCGGCGGCTGATGCGGTGCAATGGATTCCGGGTGGTGAGCCGGGCCTCCCCCGCGGGGCACAACCATCCGCCACAGGTTGACTGCGGCTGGGTCACAGTAGCCCAAGTAATCGTTGGGCCGAGCGTCCGGGTACGCGACAGCAGCGGCGGCTGCGACGGACCGCAGGTCATGGTGGTGGTGATTGTGGTTAGCCACTTTGACGGTTGAGTTCAAAAAAATTGAAGAAAAAAAAACTGCTGGTGTGCAGTTAGCGTGAGTGTGAGGAGGGGGTCACGTGCTTAGGCCCCTTGTTTGCGGTTTTATCTTTAAGGAAACGGTCTGGTTGCGGACCACTTGTTGTCGGCGGCGGCAGTGTACAATGTGTATATATAATATTAAATACGCGGGCGAACGTGTGCGCGACGTGTACGACGTGAGCCGAACGACTGCCGTGGCGCGTGGACGACCGTCGGCCGTACGTCGGACGAACGCCGTGCGGACGCCCCACGCCGCGACGACGGCCACCCCCCACCACCGAAGGAAAAAGCGTCGGAAACCGGAAGGGCGTCCCTTCTCACTCGCGGCACAGCCATCCGGTTCCGAGTGCGCGCGATCGCGTGTGTGTGGGTGTGCGTACGGTAATAATATTATATGCGCACACGCACGCGACACCGCGACGTTATCTCGGCGAGCGTGTGCTTCGTATACGTATTTATATAAACGGTCCACACGTCGTCTTCGCCGTCGTCGCCGCCGTTATTGCTCGGCCGGACAAAACGTCCGACGACGTCCAATGTAAGCGTGCAAATCGTTGGACACGTGATCAGCTTGGGCACTTGTAATTATTTTGTATTATTAGGTGTCATGTACTGATGTGTGCCGAGCGCACACGTTACTATTATATTATTGTTATAAACAAACTCGTGGCGCTTTTTATAATATATTATATTATGTACCAGTTACGGGTGCCGACAGTGTTGTTGATGTTGTGGTGGTTGTTGTTGTTGTTGTCATTAAATGTCATCATTGTCACTGCAGTCGCACGTGCAGGCTAATTATTATTGTCTCCGATTTCAAAATGTATAATAATATTACTGAGGCATAATACGCGAAGTTGCAGTTGCAGTGAGATTTACGTGCAATTAATGTGACAATTCTGTGTTGCGTTCAATTCTACAATTTATTACGAAAAACATTTAAAAAATGCACAAATATCCTATGGCGATATAATGCTGTTATGTACATTACAAAGTTAAGACGCATACACTCAACATTTGTTTTACTTGCAATAAACCTGCATCCCAATGTGACCTATATACCAAGTACCAATTCCAGCTACGATCTCTTTATCTTATCTTTTAGACAATAGGTATACCTATTATTATTATTGTTATTATTATACCCAGAAGGTATTCTTGAGATATTTTATTCCTTTTTTTACCTTGAATTTGGAACTGTCATTTTGCAATAACGCCAATAATGGAAAAGCTCCATTTGTTAATTTTGTTGTAAGCCCACGTTTTCACAATAATTAGGTTTTGTAATTTGGCAATTCGTAATACTGTTTCAGTAATAATTATATTCGATTTACTTTTACAGAGGAGTTAAGTTAATAATTTTTCCATTTGGTGGGGATATCGAATATGACTGTATAGAAAGTAGACTTTTAGATAACCAAGATCGCTGCAGTTTTCCTCTTATTAATATTTGACATAAGATATTATTGAATTATTTTATTCGTTGAATATCTTTTTCATTTTTCAATGAAATTAATAAATATCATGTCATGTATGATTCGATACTTCAGATACTTGGGTTGTTTTTATTACGTTATTTTGTAATATACTTCTTATACTTGGAGGTACACTATAGTATTCGTATTTTGAGATTAAATGGTTTGTAGCTTTTATTGATATTATTGTACACACATTAAGTACATATCTATTATTTATTAATAGTCATTATAATATTTAAAATATTTATTCGTTGTACAATGTTACAATATAGTATCGATGTATAAACTGAACATTCGGTATTAAATTCAATATAGGTACATAAAAGTTAAATTTAAAGGTTAAGGTTCACCCAAATCATATCTACTACTTTAGGTATACGACTTCGTACATAATACAAGTGCAATATAACATATATTTATATTATAAATAATTCACTCTCGCTTTATCAAACTGCTGTGTGTACATCGTTCATTATAATAATATATTGGTAACGATAATAAATGCTTTTACCGTTGTTCACGTGTGTATATAGTTTACGATTACGACGTACCTACACCACGTTCAAGGGATAATATTATATACTCGGCGGATATCGTTGAAACTAAAATGCAACATAACGCACTTATATAATATACATCACTGCAAAGTGGTTCTTGCAGCGGCTACCCCACGCAGCCGTATTGTAACTTATAACAATATATAAGTATAGAATAAAGTGTAGTGATAAATAGTATACTTTATCGCCGGTGAGCCTATTACTCTGCTGCACCTGTGAATTCGGTCTGCTGACCGCGGTATACGACGTGCGCGCTTGTAGGGTTCCGGCGATAGTGTGCAACAATTAACGCTAATTACCCGTGTAATAATGTTACTAAACCGTATTACACATATCATAATCATTATACTCATCGTGGCAGAATGGAAATTCTTGCTGCCTGCCTTCAGAACTGTTACGGCGACTTGTGATTTTTCGTTTAAACACGCCCACGCATAAAATATATGTATAATACAAGTAAAAGTTGAGACGATATCGCCAAAAGTTTTTGAGCTTCGTAATGGGATATACGGAATAGAATGAGCGGGGGCTGCGGCCGATGTGTATCGAGTATAAATAGTATATATATATATACGTCATCACACGCAAGCACGGTTTGGATCCGACCTCTTCCGTCAAAGTTTTTCAATCGTAGCGTGGAAAGTTTAAGTATACACCTTTGGTTCCGCCTCGGCAATCAAACGCGTCGTTCACGTACGTGTACCGACCTATATTTACCAAACCGAATTTTAAATATCAAAATATTATACAATCGTCAATCGGCTATAATAATAATAATAATAATAATGCATATTGCGAGATCGAAGTCGAATAAAAACGCGCGCGTTCTATCAAAAGTCACAAAAAACATTTCCTTTTTTTTATCTGAAATTTACTGGGGAGCAGTGCTCAAATTGGGAAAAATTAAGCAGAGGAGCTCAATCTAACGATTTAAAAACTGCGTTCCATGGTCGCAATTATTCAACATAGACCATACAAAAAATAGTAGGGGTACGCAAAAAAAATAGAAATAGTAGGGGAGCTCCGTCCCCCTCTCACCCCCCCCCCCCAACTTGAGCTGGGAAGCATATAATTGTACGACCATCCAATGGACGTGATATAATTTATATTTTTTCAGAGTATGCCATTTTATATCGAGTCAATATATTATTGACAATTGATATATTTTCATATCTAGTTTTAAATGTTATGTTTTGAATAACATTATCCAGTAAAAAATCAATTTGAATACAATTGAGACACTTATAAGAACAAGGGCCCAATTAGTCATTTTTCAACAAAGGCCCAAATTTACAATTTTCAAACAAATACTTTGACTTACTGAAATATTCAAAATAACTTCTAACTGAAAAAAATTATAGACTTGAAGGTATTAAATATGAAGACAATTAAAAATTTGTGATCATACTAATAATTTTTAACTGAATAAGTTTTATTTTGTCTCCTGAAAAAAATTGTAAGTTCGAATTGGGACCTTGTTCTTATAAGTGTCTCAATTATTTATCAACTATTTGTATATTTTTTATGAACTTTGATCGGCTAAAATTCCCATAATATGGCTATATAATGTTGGTGATTAATCTGTATGTTACATTGATATATTGTCCAAACAATGTCCGCATTATATCCATAATAATAATAATAAATACTTGTCACATTTATGTAATTATATATATTTTGTAACGGTCAGAGAGCTTTGATAATTTATATTACACGATATGCCATGGCGGTACATGGACGTACATGGGGCGCCCATACTCACGATCGTTTGGGTATATTTATTATATTAATATATCGTATTAAGTATAAACAATATAAACCTAATTACGTTAATTGTTTTATTTCCGTTCTAACATTGTATATACTCTTGTGGCCTTGTGTAATACTTGTAATAATTTGATAGTTACAATATTTTTCTTCCATTATTATTTCTTATAATCGCACACTACCTACTTAACAAACTTATTTATTATGTTTTAATTCTAAAAATATATTAATGGGGACTTTTTCCGTTAACCTTTTTCCATTACATAAGTCTATTGTATTTTTATTACCTATACATAATTATATTTTCAAAATATTAGAGCAATACCTACCGTATTTCTATTTTCTAACAGAAAAATAGAAGACGTAATATATCTTTAGAAATATAAACTTACGATCCGTCTCCGCTCAGATTGCTCAGAATAGTTTTTCGTATACAATGATATAAATTAAATTATCATTGAATTCAAATTGAATGCATCCAACTTAGGCATAAGCGTAAAAATTATTTGTGTTTGGGGGGGAGGGGTGGTTAAAGATTTTAATGCAGAGATGAACATTTTTCATCTTTTATAATGTGTTGTAAAATCTTCAGGTTTTTTATGGTCGGACTATCACTATCCAACGATTTCCTCAAACCACGATATTAGCCTAAATGTAAGACACTCCATCCTTCAATGATGAAGCACACTCGACAATTGACTGCACAGTAGAGCGAGAAATTATTGCACAAATTGAAAAAAACTCATCCATACTCATTATTAAGTTAGTAGGTACTAATATTAAATATTTAAATTTTATGGTATAGTATCTTACTATCTACGAATATTATCAATAAACTATTATATTTTGTTGTAGTATTTTGTAGATATGAGTAATGATTAATGAGTAGGTATACCTATTAACTCGTACAAATTGTCAAGTGACAGCAGTAACATTACATATATTTAAATATTGAAAATGATTAAATTACACACATTTAATTATAAAAGTAGTTTAAAAGTTTGTTCAGTTAAACAAAGTTATTATAA